AGGGTCCAAGGGGGAACCCGTAGAGTTTAGGGTTTAGGGCGTTAATTTAGGGTTTAGGGTTTAAGGTTTACGGGGGCAGTGGCAGCAAAGTACTTAGGGGTTTGGAGGCTAAACGGGTTAGGGAGGTTTAGGGTTTTGGGATGTTTTGCGCTTCAGCGGGGCATGGCGCTTTCGGGCTGCATAGGGCTTCTGAAGAGAATATATTCTGGCCTTGGGACGCCAAGTAGTGCCTTATTCCCTTTTGGGAATTTTTAGGTTCCCTGACAAACCCCTTGAAGCAAGAAGTACACCCGTTTTAATCCTAGGCTCCCTTCTAAACCCCTTTGTGAGCAAAAAAGGCCACCCGTTTAAATCCTAGGTTTCCCTGAAATAAGCCCTTTAAGAAAAGAGTGCACCCGTTTGAATCCGAGGTTACTGGGCAACCTAGGGCCATGTTCTTATCAGGTTTGCAGGCCTCCTCGGTACTCCTGCGAAGGAGGAGATGGACCCCTAGCCCCAAACCCTATAAACCCTATAACCGCTAAAATCCCTTTAAACCCTACAAACCATATCAACCCTATAAACCCTATAAACCCCAAAAAACCCAGAGCAACGGCCCTCGCCGCATGCAAGTTCGGCATAATTTCCGGGCGGAGGGCTTTCTCTAGGATGCCCAGTAGTGCACTTCTTCCCTTTCTGGGTGGGTTTAGGTTCCCTCAGAACCCTGGAAGCAAACATGGGCACTCCTGGAAGCAATTTTCGGTCTTTGGTGCTTTAAGGGGACAAAGGCCGACTCCCCCAGCCCGAATGCAAAAAAACATTGCGAAGAGCCCCCTCAGAACGTCAAGCGGCAGTCGGAGGCCCTTCTTGTCTACTCGGAGCTTCAGGGGTGCTTTTAATTAGGGGTAGAAGCAGGGCAGCTACGGTTACAACCTTCTTTGGGGGGCACGAAGTAGCCCTACTGAAAATTGCCCATGAACCTACAGTTCGAGTTGGACCCCAACGTTGCTTGGGACTGGTTCTCACACCGATGTAGATCCTTGCCTTATTGAGCCACTCAACCTATCGGATTCTGGCGCACTTGGATGAACCTTAACCTTCAAGTAGCTTAGCTGCATGTGCAGGTTCCGGCAGCCGCCGGAGAAGATGGCCGATGAGGCGTCTCGTTGGATTTCCGGCTAGAAGAAAGCTGAGGCCCAATGTCCCACAGGCACTAAACCCCTAGAAGCGCAAAACCCTCAACCACGAGTCAACTCACAAAAGTCCGGGGGCCCCCTAAACCCAACAACCCCTGCAGGAGACCAAGCCCTAAGCCCAGGACCCCGAACCTCTAGACCCCTAAACCACCCCACACAAGAAGCCTTAAACTAAACCCTAAACCCTAAACCCTTCTGAACCCTAAACCCTGAACCCTAGACCCTAAACCCTACACCCTGTAACCCCTACAAAGTTTAACCTGCAGGCCGCCAAAGTGATGAAGAAGATCGACGCCAACGGCGACGCCAACGGGCCCAGCGTCGGTGGGGGCTTAAACCCCGCGGGTGTCGGACCCTAAGCCCCACACCCTGGGCCCTCAACAAGCTTGTCAAAGGTTGACATTCAGGCCCAAGGGCTCTTGTGTCGGGGCTTTCGGGATGTTCAGGGATGTCATACAGCCAGGGGTGGGGGAAGACTGACTGAACTTCAGACCAGCAGCAAGAATGCTTAGTAGCTGAGTCGGTAGCCATCATAGAATCCTATCCTCCCAGAACGTGCCGAGGTACGTGCATGCCTACCTTTGTGCGTACATCATACATAAATAATAACACATATGCGTGTCTCTCTCGACCTCTCCCCTCTCTATCTATGTATATGTGTATTGCGTGCCCTGTCATGCATAGTCGGAGCCGGATACAGTTCTCGCGGAACCTCGCGTGTCTACAAAAGCAGCTCAGGGCCAGTTCGACGCGGCAGAGTTGCGCCCTGCTGTGCAAGGGTTGGGGGTGGCAGGGTTTAGGGCCAAAGTTTGGGGTTTAGTATGTTTTTACAGCGTTAGGGTTTAGGGAGAAATCACCACCAATTTGGTTGTTCTTTTTTTTTTTGGGGGGGGGGGGGGGGGGGCTCTCTGAGGGCGGGAGCCAAGCGGATGGTCGAGGTACGACGCCTACTCCAAAAGCAAGAAGAAGGTGCCAAAGTTTAGGGTTCAGGGGTTAGGGGTTCAGGGTTTAGGGTTTGGGGTTTGGGGTTTAGGGTGTGTAGGGTTTAAGGGTAGTTTAAAGTGTCTGATGTATGGGCCCTTGGGTTGTATAGTGTATATAGAGGTCCCCTTTTTAAGGGCCCAGAACCAGGGCTCACGTATCTACCCGAAGATAGGGCTTAGGGTTGAGGGGCTTAGGGTCTTTGGGGCGAAGTTTGTTGAAAGAAGTCTCCATAGACTGAGGAAACCCTCTGACAATGCTTCCGGTTTTCCACCCGCCCCGACTAGGGGTCGGGGTCGTGCATGCAATACTTGAAACTTGGGAAACTTTTAGGAAGACCTTTCTGTGCACTTTGAGCCAGGGCGTCCCGTGCCCTTACTCCGTTGGGAAGGGCTAGGGAGCAGGGAAGGGCATCCGTGCATTTTCTTCTCGGGTTGCCCGGGCCACCACAGGATTCACAAACTCTAGGCTCCGCAAGCACCCAACAATCAGGGTTTAGGTTTGCGCCCTAACCCTCCCGGAGCCTGAAAAACGCTCCGCTGAGGGTTGAAGGCATACAACCCCCAAAGCCTTAATTAAGCCTTTATTTCGTGACCTTGCTTCAGCCCCCGAGAGACTGAGATTGAATCGCCTTTCGCACGCAGGCCATCCTCAGCAAAGGCGACTTCCAGCCGCGGCCCTGAGAGACTGTGAGCCGGGGAGGGTTTAGGGTTTAGGCTTTAGGGTTTGGGGTTTGGGGCTTAGGGTTTAGGATGTTTAGGGTTGCGGGCGCATGGGTACTTATGCTTTTGGGTTTGGAGCTTAGGGCTTAGGGCTTACTGGGAGGTTCAAGTTTGGGGTGCTTCTAACTATAGGGCTATAAGTAGCTTAAAACCTACTTCTAAAGTACCCGTGAACCTCCAAGTAGGTTTTGCCTTTTGGCCTTTTGCGGCTGCGGTTTTGACCTTTGTCTTTTGTGGGCGCGGGGTGGGGGGGGGGGGGGGGGGCTCCCAATAGCTTCTTGTTTTTGGCAAGGGGGTGTGATGTTTACATAGTGTAGAGGGGCTTGTGCAATTTTGTGGGCGGTCCTGAGGGTTGGTGACTCGCAAGTTCAGCTTCTTGGAGGACCTACTTGGGGTTTCACGGGTACCTTACTAGCAGGGTTATAAAGTGGGTTAGGTATGCTCAATTAGGGTACGTCCAACCCTACTTGCAAACTACCCAGAACCTTCGAGTAGCCCTAAACCCTAAACCCTAACCCCTAAACCCAAGAGACTCTGGCCCTAAACCCTAAACCCTAAACCCCACAAGTCTTGCTGAGGTACAGCTGGATGAAGCTGCTTACGCCGGAGCAGAAGCAGGCCGAAGCTGAAAGCCGGACTTCTCTTACGCAAGGTACCGAAGTCCCCCCCCCCCCCCCCCCCCCAGTTGAGGGTTCGGGGTTTAGGGTTTAGGGTTTAGGGTTTAGGGTTTAGGGTTTAGGGTTAATTTAGGGTTTAGGCATGAGGCAGCTTTCAGGTTCGAGAGGGTGCCATTTCAGAGGGCGTTTTCCTGGAAGAAGCCCTGAGACTGACTCGTCCGGTATCGCTGCTGGGATCTCGGCCACGACATCCCTCAACCCGACCCATTGCGATCCAACTCGCCCAAGCCTTGCCTTGCGCGAGTGAAAGAGCCGAAGCCCGAAATCCCTCACAAACACCACAGCCGGAGAGAGTTCCCCCCCATCCCTCGTCGAATGCACCTGCATTTTTATAAACAACGAAGGGTTCTTGGGCCCAGGACCTTGTTTGAGGGCAAGTGTCCTAGTGTGTGTGTGTGTGTGTGTGTGTTTGTTGGCTGCGTCCCGAGGCCCTCATTGCTTTTTTCCACCCTGAGACCGCTGCACTGCGGAGTGGACGTCAGAGTGTGGGCAGAGCGTGTGGCCAAAGCCAAAAGCTCCTGAACTCCGTCCCTAAACCCTAAAGACCCCAACCTCAACCCCATAAGCCTCTTTGAAATGCCTACATTCCGAAGAAATCTGAACAAAAGCCTTTTCCACAGCCGATGCAAGGAGTTCGTGAACGAAGCCTTGGCCGTATGGGTTGAGGCGCTGGCAGCGGGGAGGGACATGCAATACACGGGGGGCCTAGATTCGTTTAGGGTTTGGGCTTTAGTCAGTCCTAAATGGTTGCCAAGATTCTCTTCTCTACCTCACAAACCTTAAAGTGCACCCCACAAGGCACTGTTGTTCATCGAATTGGCGGGTCTCCTGCATAGGGTTATACGAAGACGCTCGCGGCAACTACTTCTCTAGGCTCCTCAGGCTTCAGCTTCGGATAGGTTTAGGGTTTAGGGTTTAGGGTTTAGGGTTTAGGGTTTAGGGTTTAGGGTTTAGGGTTTAGGGTTTAGGATTCAGGGTTTAGGGTTCAGGGTGACGTCATGATCACGCAGCCTGGCTCTCGAGTCTCCTTGTCAATCCCTTGGACCCACAGAAACCCTTAGACCCATAAAGGCCCGCAAAAGACGAAAGGCCCCCCCAAAGCCCTAAATCCCAAAGTCCTAAACCCTAAACCCTGAATCTTGATTTCTCGGATCCTAGTAAGGAAGAGGGGATCAAGGGGGACATGTAACCCAAGGATCCCTAATACTCCCCAACCTTGGCGCTCAGCGCCCTGGCTGCTCCCAGTGAAACCCCACATTCCACTGCAAAGGGTTAGGGTTTAGGGTTCCTTCTCTGAACGTATGTATGTTTGCCTGGACAGAAAGTTTGTCAAAGGCTTTTCCCAGCTGACTTCAGGCACAGTTTATCCAGCCCAAACAGAGGTATTCTAGATAAATAGATCCTGACACTGACAGCGCACGCAGACAAATAAGATAGATCTTGCTATGTCCGTGGGCTGCGGGCAGCATTCAGTTCTGGAAGAGACTCTGCTTACTCGGCTACAGAGGCCTGGCTGGTGTTGCGGAGGTTTTCATGGCGACACGAAGGAAGATTTCATAAACTCCTTTACCCAAGGTTCATTGCAAGAACGAATGGATGCAGTGGAGAGGCTCCACAAGCGTCTCCCGGCGTGGGGCAGCGAGTCCATGCGAGACAGGCATTCTGATTGGGTGGCTGCTGTTTACGATGGAGCCAAGATTGTGCTGGAACAGGAGTTGGCTCGGGATCCTGATGCTGTCTATCAACAGGCCTTACATGCAGACACCAGCGTGCGACGGGCAGTGGTGGAGGTTCTTGGCACAAGAGCATCCAAAGGAGATGAACGGGCTATATCATGCTGCCACGCACATTTGCGAAAGTTCCCCCACTCTGTCTTCGAATCCTTGGCAAAACTGACTCACCCTGGGGACCCCAGGACCATCGAGGCGGCGGGTTGTGTGATAGACACCTACACCACTTGGAGCAACTGGAGGTTGGATCTTAGCGGCAGTCTGGGACGGCGGCTGCGTGAAATTGCTCAGAAGGACGATGAGAATCTAGTTCGCACCGTTTGCCAAAGGTTGGAGCATCGAGAGAAAGATGCAAGGGAAGCAGCGGCAGCTGCGCTCAAAATCATCGCCAGCAAGGATTCTGAGCATGTCGTGCAGGAGATCTTGGCGCGGCTAAACCACGGGCGAGCGGAAGTGCGAGAGGTGGCCTTGCTGGCTCTTGGCCAGATGGCTCTTCCCAACAATCTTGAAGCTGTCAATGCCACGCGCCGGCTCCTCCAAGATCGAAGTCAGAAACTCGTTCGTCCCAGGGCACAAAGTACGCTTGCACTGCTAGAGGGGCGCAATCGACCGCGGCGTTGACCAGGAGCAGACTCGGGTTACTCCATAGCAGGACCTGACCTGCATCTCAAAGCCACAGCAGCAGGAGATCTGAGTTCAAAACAAAGACCGAAGCCTGGGTTTGTCGGAGATATTCGACAGCCTGCAACCCTAAGCTCTCACCCAAAACCTAATCCCAAAATCCTAAACCCCGAATCCTTCACTCCTCCGTAGACCCTACGGCCTATAGGCCCTCTGCACTCAATCTCCTCAGCCCCGCAATGCTCAGCCCGAAGCCTTGTGCACCCTATCTATGGGTATTTCCGAAAATAGGATTTAGGGTTTAGGGTTTAGGGTTAACCCTAAACCCTAAACCCTAAACCCTAAACCCTAAACCCTTTCTATTTTTATACCCCACATAGAGTACAGTCCCCCCAAAACGAGTACCCGTATTGTCGGAAACCTCCCAAATGGTGATACCCCCAAGCCCTCAATGTGAGCCCGCCTTGCTTCAGTGTGGGCACCTCGAGCTCCTTGAGGTTTAGGGTTTAGGGTTTAGGGTTTAGGGTCTTTGGGTTTAGGATTTGAGTCTGGGTCCAAAAAAAGGGTTCCTCTCTGTCAAACCAGACCCCCCCCCCCCCCCCCCCCACCCAAACTATCTGAAACACTCCCCGCCCTAAACCCTAAACACAAACCCTAAACCCTAAACCCTAAACCCCCTAAAGCCTCAAAGATGCCCGAAAAACTCCCTAAAGGTGCCACCCAGGAAGCCCCGAAACTCCTGAACTCCCTGAGCTAGTCAGCTAGTCGGAGCTTCATTTGCTGGGTATTGCTTTGGGATAATTTTAAGTTTCCCTTCTTTCCCTTTTAAGGGAGCCTATTCATAAATAATTTTCAGAGGGCTCTAAAGCAACACCCAGCTTGGGTACTTAGAAGGAAGTATGGATAAATTGAAGTGTAACTCTGGTTCTAGCCTTATGTGGCGTACTTATAGCCGCATTAGAGCCCTCCCTTAAGAACCCCCCCAACCGCTTGTTTTGGTAGGCTGGCAGAGTAAGACCCCTTCCTAGGATTCTGAGGGAACCTACCCAAAGAAAGTAGGTCTTGCGGTTCTTGGGGTAGTTAGAAGTACCCCCTAAACCCTCAACCCTAAACCCCAAGGCAACAGAAGCCCACATGAACCTTCAAGTAGCTGGTGCCAGGATGCCCTGCAGTACCACGACCTCAACCGGGACAAGAAAGTCACGAACCTCGAGCTGCACCTTACAGGGTTTCGGGTTTAGGGTTTAGGGTTTAGGGTTTAGGGTTTAGGGTTAGGGTTTAGGGTTTAGGGTTTAGGGCTGCTGGGGAATAAGGGCGAGGCAGGCAGTGGGTGAGGAGACCTGCTGCAAAAGGGCTTCAAGGGTTGCCGGCAGCCTCCTCAGTCCGTGCTGAACAATAGGGCTTGGGCACCTTGAGAACCCCAAACCCATATTTGGAAAGCCGAGTTGCTTAGTAGCTATGGTCTACCCGATGCCGACCCTTGCCTCCCAAGCAAGGGCTCAGGGGTCAGGGTTTAGGGTTTAGGGTTTAAGGTTTTAGGGTTCAGGGTTTAGGGTTTATAGGGTTTAGGGTTGAGGGTCCCCTGGAAGTGGTGGGTTAGGGTTTGCCTCAAGCCTAAGTCGTGTTGCTGCAGAGTTGCTTGTCCAGCTACGCGGCTAAGGGCACAGCACCCTGGAGCAAACAGCGATACGTATCCGAACTTGAGTGGGGGTTTAGGGCTTAGGGCTTGGGGCTTAGGGCTTTGGGCTTAGGGCTTAGGGCTTAGGGCTTAGGGTACTCCACGCCCTGAACGCTAAACCCTAGAGGGCTGCTTACAGCCATTGGGCCAGTTTTACCGAGATGTAGCTGGAAAGGAGCATCCTCCAAGCTACTTGCCCCAACCCTGCAGTGCCAGGCAGGCGATACAGAGCAACCAGGCGCTTGACCCGCACGCCCTAGGAATTCCCAGGATCAGAGTCGGAACAAATCATTCTCCCCTTACAACCCCTGCAGAGTCTTAAATCTAGTCCTACACCCTTGGGTTCAGGGTTTATTGGTTGAGGGTGCAGTTCAAGTTCAGCTCGGCGGCACAAAAGGCACAGGGCAGGGTTCCTTGTTAGGGGTTTTGGGCTTGAGGGTGTACGTAGGGCTTTGACCTGAGTTTAGGGTTTATGGTTTAGGGTTCAGGGTGTAGGGTTTAGGGTTTAGGGTTTAGGGTCTAGGGTTTGGGTTTAGCGTTTAGGGTTTAGGGTTGAGGGTTTAGGGTTTAGAGCTTGGTGATCCGAGGCTGGAGGAGCTAGCGTGCGCAGCCCAGAAGGGGTCTTCAGGCCACGGCCCCTTCCATTTTCCCACTCGACCCTGCAGAAAAGTTCACAAACTAGGACCCGGAGTAGGCCCTTAGGTCCTTTTTTTAGGATTGGGGTTCCCTTATAATCCCTTCAAAACCAAAAAGGGTACCCTTTTTTTCCTGGGTTACTCCTGGGTCTAGCAATAGAATTGCCACAATCATCGTTAGAAGATCCATTCCAGGGCATGTCGTAGACCGAAACTCGACCGAATTGAAGTGGTTTAGCATATGGCTGGGCTCAGCCCTAGTCTAATCGTGGGGGGACTTGGTGGTTAGCCTTTGCAACAGTCGCCTTGTGTCTGCGCCGCCACGTGGTGTGTGAAGTGACTTATTCCGCCCAGTTTGGGCGCACAGAGAGAAAGCCTAAACGTGCTGCAGACATACTTAGCAGCTGAGTAGATAACCTGCAACCTTTTGGGGTACATACGATCCTTGCATAACAACTGAAAGGCTAACCTTTTTGGGCCTGGGCGTACATGGGGCTCCTGGCTGGCACCGAGCCCTAGACTTCCAGGGACCTGATGGCTCATCATTCGGACCCAAGAAATCCTTCCCTGGTGGTAGAGGCTCGTCCTAGATAGGATAAGGGGGACCCTTAAAAGGGAGCCCCTTCTTAACCCTCTTCTGGTTCTCTTAAACAGGGACCTTATTCAGAGGGTCTATATCCCCAAGGGACCCCGTAATCCTATCCCCTAATAGGAAGCCTCTCACTGTTTGCTGTTCAAACAGGACATCCAATTGCGTCTCGCTTGGAAGGTCCGAGTCTTCAGAATCGAGACCTTCACATCCGAGGATTTAGGGTTTAGGGTTGAGGGTTGAGGGTTGAGGGTTTAGGGGAACTAGAGCCTACATGAAAACCACATGGCGAGGTACAACTTCCTCCACTGGAATGTAGTCCAGGCACGCACGGAGTCGTGCGGACCCCAGGGGCGAGGCAAGAAGCCTGCAGGGAGAGTTTTCGAGTTTCCGGTATCCGGTTTTTTGGGGGTTGTTTGCCGAACCTTGCTGCTGTAAGGCACCCTATTCCTAAACCCTAAACTCTAAGCCCTAAACCTGAACCCTTAAACCCTTCAGCTCAGCAGATTCGGCTCAAAGGACTACGACCACCAGGCACTTGAGTATTTGATGGGTTCAGGGTTTGGCCCTCCGGCGAAGGGTTGATCAATGTCTTAACAGCCACAAAGCGAGAAAACAAAGAACCAACCCTCAAACCCTAAACCCTAAACCCTAAACCTCTATAAACCCTAAACCCTAAACCCTAAACCCTAAGTAAACCCCTACAAACCCTACAAGCCGAAGCCCCTAGCCGTTTCGGCGCCCAGGGTCCGCCGCCTTAATGGCCAGAAGAAGAGCAAGCCCTGGACCCAGGTGGGGGGGGAGGGGGGGTAGGGTTTAGGGTTTCGGGTTTAGGGTTTAGGGGTTTGGGGTAGATGCGCACGCAATGTGTGTACAAATGTGGCATATTCATGTATGTTTCTAATTTATATGTCTAAGTTTCCTGTGCGAGGGCGCCTACTTGGGTACCTATTGTCGTTCCGGCCTTTTGTATTGAGGTACGTACCCAAATCGGACTCTCGTGTAGCGTGTGAGAGAACCGGCCATCTGGGTATGGCTGAGCGCTCCTAAACTCTTTACACGGATAGCTACACCCCAAAGTTCCAAAGGCCCTTGCAAGTTAGGTGTTTAAGAGGTGTTTGGGGCCAAAGAACCCTTTCGATGCCTACCTTCGGGTCTAAAGTTAAAGTTTAAAGGGGGACTGGCTTAGATTGTGGCCCCAGCTTCTTAGACCCGCCGAAGCCCCAGGGAACTTGTTACAATGGAGACCCTGTCCTGACCCACACAACTGGCTCAGCATCTGGACTGCAGGACATGATCAAGCAGGAAAAGGCAAAGGGACGGTGGGGCTCAAATCACCAGATGCCTGAAGCCGTGAAGCTAGAGCACTCTAGGACTAATGGTATTCCCTTATGAGGCCCTTTATTTCAATACTTTAATGCCCCCCCCCCCCCCCCCAAAAAAAAAACTATTCTAATGATGTTTAAGGCCCCTATATGTTACTGAAGCCCAGTGTGCAGAACCTCCGTACCGTCATGCATGGCTTGATGACCGGGACGCCGGCAGACGTGTCTCCATCTTCCATACTGGGCTTCAAGTGGAAAGTGCTTTTACAGTTCTATCGGCCCAACTCCCTATGCAGTATAAGCAGGACACACAAAACCCACTCCAGTCTACCCAAGTGGGTATGTCCAAAAATTAGGGGTGCTCCCAATATGCTTCCACCTGCTTTACTAGAAGAAGCCCGAAGACGGCACAAGCCTATCTTCTGAAACTCCCCCAGCTCTCGAACACCAGTAAACCCCCGCAAGCCCAAAAACAAAAATACCTGGTGGGGTACCCTCCTCCCTTTTCCTTGGGGGAGCTTATGGGGGCCCAAAGCCTAATCCCGAAACCCTTTAAACCCGAAACCCTTCTGAAACCACATTGCAGCAAACAGGGGGGCCCAGGTGAGAACCCAAGAGCCCAGGTCTTTGAGTGTCAGGGACGGGGCCATTTTGTTCAAGGTTTACATTTTTCTGGATTGTAAGGGTTTAGGGCTAGGGGCCTGAGGGTTTAGGGTTACGAGGGGTCGGGTGATAGGGGGTTCGCCCTGGCGCCCCCCCGCATTTTAAGAGACGTCGGCGACCAGGGCTACCTCGAGAAGTACTACTGCGAAGATCCCGCGGACGGGAGACCCAGCAATTTGCGCAGACGGGTGGTTTCCTTCGTTGCTTTCTGGGGCTCAAGGGGGTTGAAGCTTGAAAGTTTGGGGTTGTAAACGCCTAATTAAGGAGCAAAGAGCCGTTGATTTGAGGTCATATACCCTGTACTATTATACTTGAGACTAAGGTATATGAACCATAAACCCTTTTAGGGTTCATTTGGTCCCCAAGGACTGAGGGCATGAAGCCTGCCTTAGACTCGATCCACTAAAGCCTTTAAGCGCCGTGACAGCAGGGTGCTGATTCAGCCCCCAAACCCGCCGCAGATGAGAAGCCTTGAATGAACGCCCAGGACCAGGCTCCAGAACATGTTTTTTTTGGTACGGCTAGGGATAGGCTCCTCCTACTTGGACGTTTTTTGGGGAGGGGGGGGGAGGGGGAATTGTCCATTCTGGACTCTCGAAGGTTTACAGGACTTTCAGAGTCTTCATATCCAACACCTGCTCCCCCTGAACCCGACTCAGCCGGATGAGTCGGGAAGTTCCCCCTTCTACTTATACTAACAGTGCTAAACAGGGATTCCAAAAATAGGGGGTATTAGAATCCCTATTAGGGACTGTTAGTTATAAGGGGGGAACATCCCACCCTAAGGCCCTTGGACCCTCAAAACCCTGGGACTTGAAACCCCAGAACCTGTCTTAGGAGGTACCAGTCCCGCTGCCGGAGGGTCCTTAGAGTCTTAAACCCTAAACCCTAAACCCTAAACCCTAAGTCAGGGCAAGCTAAAGGGACGATTTTTCGAGAGTGAGGTGTGTCCCGCCCTCCAAGAGCTGGACTCCTACGGAGAGCAGCTGCTGCTCGGAGGGTTTAGGGTTTAGGGTTTAGGGTTCGGAGGAATTTTCTTTCAAGGGATTCAGACTCGTACCCCTAAGGTTGTACCCCTAAAGGTTCCCCCTCAATATACTCCCAATATGGCCCTTCTATTCCCTTATAAGATCCTTAGAAAGGGACCCCAAAACCCAAGGGTACCACCTCAAGGGTCCAAGGTAGACTAAATCACTGTTAGGGATCCTTTTTACTTTTTGGGTTATGGGCTTTCTTATATATAAACAAAAAGGATCCTTTTTTCTTCCTAGGGGAACAGGGTCCAAGGTAGAACCCCGGGATTCTTTGAGCGGGGGGACAGTTTCGAGTTGACAGCTTCCCTCTCGGACTTCTGCCCTGTGAGGGAAAGGCATGATGCGTGTGTGTAGTTCCGGGTAACACCCAACCCCCCCCAAACAAAAAACAACAATAATAATAATAATAAAGCAGGAAAACAAACAAAGGCAAGAAAAGCAGCTAAAGAGTAGCATCTGATGTTGCTGTGAAGCCAGAATCTCTGGAAAATGCCACCCTGATGTTGCTGTGAAGCGTAGGGGGCGTAAGCATCTGGTTGACTGGAAAGCCTTGTATGCGTCCTGAACCCCCACACACACAGAACTGGCACTTCTCCAGTCATGGATTTAAGCCTAAACACAACCTACCCTCAGGCTCTAAGGCCTCTTATTTCGGGTTGTTGGCGCCCAAAGGGCCTTCTGACATAAGGTTCTTGGGGCGATTTTGGAGCCTGAGGGATTCGAAAAGGGCACGGCAGGCCACATGATGCACGCTCTGTCCACAACCCATGTCCTCCGCAGTTTTGGGTCGGGGGCTCAGAAATCCAGACTTCCCCCGCGCAAGCGCCGCAAGAGGGAGTCTGCTTGGATTTGGTCCGCTCGGCTGCAAGGATGTTTGGTGTTTTGGGGGGGCTGCAGGGCCTTCGGAGTTAAGAACGTTGCGGGTTGCAGGGTAGACCCCAGATAAGCTCTAGAATCCTCAGAGTCCGAAAACCCCAAGGGCTCAACTTAGTTCGGAGTCTTCTGATAAAAACATCAGGTTCTTCGGCTTTATTTGGGGCCCAAGGTAACTCATCGAGTCCCCTTCTGAGAAGTTCCAAGATTTGTTTTGTGGGAGATCCGAGGCTCGAGGGTTTAGGGCTTTTTAGGGTTTAGGGTTTAGGGCTTTTTAGGGCTTAGGGCTTTTTAGGGTTTAGGGCTTTTTAGGGTTTAGGGTTTAGGGTTTAGGGTTTAGGGTTTAGGGTTTACCACCTGAGAGGGTCAGGACTCTGGGTGACCCCCAAAAATTTGGATCCAGGCCTTTGGGCCCAAAAACCCCAAAATCAGAGGCCTCGGAGCCTTGCGGGTTTTGGGCTTTAGGCTTGAGCACGGCGCAAGCGAGAGAAAGAGAAAGAGAAAGAGAGAGAGGCTTGAGGGTTTTGCGTTTGAGGAATGCTTCTTTTCCTTAACGACTCATCTTCCACGAAGTCGTGAAGTATGACCACAGCCGTAGCTGAATTTAAGCTTGTAGGGTCCAACTATGAAGGAAGTTCTCTACGTGGTTCTGGTATAGTGGCAACCCCAATAGGATAGCTTATGGAACTGCCATACTTGGAGGTTACTTATAGCTGTAGTTATAACAATATTAGGGCACTTGAGGGGCTACTAAGTGGGTTATAAGTACAGTTCTAATTGGTTAAGGCATACATGAGCCTCCAAGAAGGTTTAGGGTTTAGGGTTTAGGGTTTGGGGTTTAGGGTTTATAGGGCCTCACAGGCATGGGCTGCGCCGCGTCCGCAGCGAGTCGGCAAGTGGCACCCGAGCCACCGGTGCACGCACCCCTTTCACGGCCGCAACGTGAGGTCAAGGGTTTGTTTAGGGTTTAGGGTTTAGGGTTTAGGGTTTAGGGTTTAGGGTTTAGGGTTTAGGGTTTAGGGTTTAGGGTTTAGGGTTTAGGGTTTAGAGACATAGAGTCCCTGAAATGGAGCCAAGCCTCAGACAACCACTGCAGTGTCCGAGCACTTAGCAGGTGAGGCCGCCGGCTGCCCCGAAGAAGTGCCTGGATGACCTGCAGATGTTGGCGTTTCAGATCCTCAGGGGTTGGGTAGTGAATGTTTAACCTTTTTGGTTATTCATAAAAAAACCCAAACCCCTAAACCCTAAACCCTAAACCCTGAAACTTTTTTGGGCCAGGGTATTTGCCCCTCAGGATCACCTCCCAACCAAGCTGTGACCTTAGCACGCCCTTCGACGACACCGCGCCTCGGGTTGCAGCAGCCAGGCTTCTTCCCAATGCCCCCCCCCCCCCCCCCAGCCCAGAGTAAGGGAGCCAAAGTTATGGCTAAGAGCCTCCGCAATATATATGTATGTTTTTCTCTCTCCTGAAAACCCCTAAGCCTTGAACGCAGTTCAGAATTCGACCAGTCTAATTCAGCAGGCCCGTATATCTTTTTTTCCCCCTTGATACACCGCCCCCTCCCCCCCCACCACCCCCAACACGGGACAACCTTCGGTCCACTCAAGGGTTCCAAGGGTAGTTTCCAAACCCTAAACCCCTAAACCCCTGAACCCCTAAACCCGAAACCCTGCCCTAAGGCTCTTGGAGGTGAACCCTAATCCGTAAACCCTCAACCCTAAACCCTAAATCCTAAATCCCTAAACCCTAAACCCTGGGTTAAAATGGGTTCAGGGTTTGAGGTTTCGGACCCCAGCTCTTGTTTCGGTTTTGGGAAGTTTCGGGGAGTTGGGGGGCCTTTTTTGGATTTCCCTGAGCAAGTTTAAGGTTCAGGGTTCAGGGTTCAGGGTTCAGGGTACAGGGTACAGGGTTGAGAGGGAGATGAGGGGTTAGGGTCTGAGTCAAAAGGTTCTTTAAGGAACCATATATACCTGATAAGCAGCATCAAGGTTCCTGACTGACCTCTTTTTGGTTAGTCTTTTTGTTTTTTGGGGGGAGGGGGTCATGTAGGGCTTTACCTGCAGAACTCGACGCCTCAGAATCCTACAAGGGGTTTCGTGCGAAGAACTTACGGAAAGTCGATGTTGAATAGTTCTCAGGGTAGCTTGGGGCCGGAACTAGGAGCTTCAGGGGTACTTTATAAGTAGGTCAGGGGTACCTCGGGTTATACCCTTATTTAGGGTACTTATATGAACCCTACTTACAAGTATTCCTGAACCTCCAAGAGCAGGGTTTAGAGAGGTTAAGAGGGCTGAGAGTCGTATCTATGTCCCAGGATGAGTGGCTGGATAGCAAGAACGAGCGCGCATCCTTCCACTCATTCGGGGAGCCGGCTGGATTCCCCGAAGGTTGGGCGGCTCGTGTTCTTCTGTTTTGCCGTTTGTTTGGGGCCGCCTCTCCCAACCAAGCACAACCCTAAACCCTAAACCCTAAACCCTAAACCCTAAACCCTAAACCAAGCAAAAAACCATGGGATGCCCCACAACACATACCATTGACGCAGCGAAGTAAAGCAGAATCAGGACGGAGAGAAAGAGAGACTCCGAGACAATTGGTGTATGTATACAAACCAAGAATCAGGAACCTCAACCCCTCTTTCTTCCTAACGTTCGGGGCTTGGTCTTTATCATTGGATTGACCACGCAATGGTTTCGGGCGCCGTTTTTTTTTGTTTTTTTGTCTAATGTCCTTGCGTTTGCTCGTGTACCTACACAAGGGGGTGAACATGAGCGGTTCAGTACCGAGTAAAGTCGCAGAAGGTGGCAACAATGGTGCTGTGTGTCTTCATCGCAGTCTTGCAACAGCGGCAAGTTCTGCGTTCAAAAGGGTATAGATAGCACATGCCTCAAGTTCTACAAGGGGGGAGGGAGGGGGGCTGACCCTGGCAGGGGTGCCTCGAGAGCCAAATCGACGCTGCCACGAGTGCCCGATCTGCGCTTTTGCCTTTTGCCCACGAACCCAAGCATTCAGGTTTTTGGGGTTTGAGGCTCTATGGGCTTAGAGTTGGGGGGTTAAGAATTCGGCCCTCTTCTTCTAGAGACCTAGTCCCAAGGTTCGTAGCTGAAGAACACTGCTGAGGTGCCAGGGTAGTTCGGATATGTCCGCGTATCTGTATTTGTGGCTAGAGCTTCAGAAAGGATGTGAGCGCAGGCGTGCTCGGAAGTAAGCAGAGTGTGCGTCTTTTTGGGGCCGCCGGGAGGTGTGTGTAGGTTCAGGCTTCGGGTTTTTGGAACGTAGGGAAGTCGCGTCGACGGCATCGAATCTTCACGCCAAGTGCTTGCCGGTAAGCAAGCGATCGCAGACCTCACCCCTACAAGCCCTACTTGGAGGTTCATGGTACTTATTAACCAATTCTAACTGTACTTATAAACCCGGCTTATAAGCCCCTCAAGCGCCCCAAATGGGTTATAAGTACAGTGACAAGTCCAGTTATAACTGGTTAGTAGGTACCATGAACCTCCAAGTACCCAGAGGCGCCACGTCCGCTCCTTGAACAAGTTCCGAGCTGCGGTAGAGCTGTGCCCAGAGACGTTCGTCAAGATTGCACACTCGAAGCAGCGCAGGACAGGCTTACGGGTTTATACGTTTATAGGCGGGTTGACAGGGTTATGTAGGGTTTGCAGGGTTTTGTAAGGGTAGGGTGGGTTTGTTGCGTCTAGGCTTAGGGGTCAGGGTCCGTCAGGATTTTGGCCGAGATCAGATGTGCTGTTGCTGATTGGGGCATATTGGTAATGGCTATGGCGACCGACTCCATGTGTAACCCTACCAGGACAGGCTATTATACCCTATAACCCCTTAAAAAAGCCCTTTATAGGGTTGATTATGGGGATTATAGGGCCTATGGCCCGTCCTGGTATATATCCCATTTTGAGACAGCTTGTGAAGTCTCTAGTTTGAGCCTCCGGCCCCGGTTGTCTCTAGCTTAATGAGTGCCCTTAGTCCCTGGAGTCGCTGTTTTGGGGCTCCAGACCCTGCAGGGTTTAGGGTTTAGGGTTTAGGGTTTAGGGTTTAGGGTCTCTAGTTTAGGGCCTCCAGGCCCTGCAGTCTCTTGTTTAGGCCTCCAGAGAATGCAGTCTCCAGCTTAGGGCTCCAGACTCTCAAGTCTCTGGTTTAGCCCTAAACCCTAAACCCTAAACCCTAACCCTAAACCCTAAATCCAAAGCTCACGAGTTGATCGGCAGCCGACCTCTCTAAAATGAAATCATCTGCCGGCGCAGGGTTTCTTAATTGAGGGGGGGGCGGGGGTTAGAATTGAGTTCCGATTCGTACGGTTCCCTGGGCATTTTATTACTGTAGAAGTACCAGAGAATAATATGAAAATGAAAGGAACGACGTGACCTCACTTCTTTCACCCAATTGTGCATTCAGTTCATTCCATTGCTATTTTAAATAATCAAAGCGAAGCGAAGAAATGAACGAGCGAGAGAAACTATGAAGGTAGCAGAATAGCCCTTAAAAGTCCTACAACATTCCTTGTTTTGTATGACTTACTATTCACTATCCATCCAGTGTATTATTGCATTTCTTAATTCAGGGGGTCTAGAATCAAATATGAGGTTACCGCTATACGTATGTAATATAGACATATCACTCCCAAATAATGCGCGAAGTATGCAGTTGCTAAACCCGAAACCCGAAACCCTAAACCCTAAACCCTAAACCCCTAAACCCCTAAACCCCTAAACCCTTAAACCTCTAAACCCCTAAACCCCTAAACCCTAAGCCCTATATTCACGTGCGGTGCTGTCGTCGTCGTAGTCCCAAGCAAAGATCTTGCGAGCTCCGACCCGCTCGTCGACTCAAGAAACAGGGGCCCAGAGTCGCTCTAGGGTTTAGGGTTTAGGGTTTAGGGTTCAGGGTTTGGGGTTCAGGTTCTAGGGTCTAGGGTTTAGAGCTTAGGGTTCGCGTGCCAGCTGACGTCAAGAGCCTGGGTTCAAACATTTTGTTTGTAGTTTAAGGGTTGAGGCTTTAGCCTGCTTTTTCCGTTAGCACTTCGACTTACCCTAAACCCTAGACCCTATAAACCCTAGACCCTAGACCCTAAACCCTAAACCCGAACCCTTACATCCCCCTGCCGCAGGCTGCAGGACTTGCTGGAGCGCAATGCCTTTGGACCCCTTCCGCAGGTTGCTGGCAAATAAGACCACTGCTTCTAGTTGAACTTCAAGCATTTGGGAGTGCTCCCGAATTTGGTAGGCCGAGCCCCAGGCCCTTATTCCCTTTTGGTACTGACCATGGATCTTTTGAGATTTTTTCCGAACCTTACTTTACCTTGTTCCGGGCGAAGTAAGTGTAGAAGACAACAAATCCCTGGGGCTCGTAACGCCTGACTACGGCTCGAGGGGTTTACGAAGATCGGGGACCCTTAAAATGGACCCCGCAAATAGTAGGATTTCCCAATAATGAGGACCCCAAAAAGGGTACCTTCACTTGAATTTTTCATGATGGAAGAGGTGTAATCTACAATCATCTAGGAATAATCTTGAACTGACCTGTCGGATACTCTGAGCCCCCAAAAAGACCCCAGAGGTGCACCCTATTCCTCCAGAAAGCTCAACCAGCAAGAGTACTATAGGGGTCGGAATAATTACTACGAATATTCCCCTGGGGTCCCGTTACAAACACTATACTATAACAACCCCCCCCAGAACCCCATTTTGATTCTTCAGCCCCCTATATTACTACCAATTACTTAAGAACCCCGAAAAAATAAGAATGTATTCTTCCTTTGTCAAGGGTAATATGGGGAGTACTGTTTGTTATTCTTTTGGGGGTTCTCAAGCAAAATAGTAGATTAGCATAGTTCGCATGGCCCTGGAGAAAATGGCAGCCGTCAAGTTGTTGGGACCTGCGGTGTTCCACCTTTGTTTAACCCTCTAGCTGGAAGATCGCGCGCGCGCGGGCCTGGGTTTAGGGTCTAGGGTTTAGGGTTGAGGGTTTAGGGTTTAGGGTTTTGGCATTTGCAGTGTGCTGTGTGGGGGTCACATGCCGAAAACACAACACCGGTGGGCGAAGTGTTTTCGGCACCTACTCTTTCAGACGTCTGTTGCATCGATTTTGCATCGGTATTTACAGTGTTTCGCGTGTGTCACATGCCAAAAAGACCCAAAAGCAGTGTGAAAACGAAGTGTTAATTTTCGCACGGCTGGAAGTGTTTGGCATGGGTCGCATGATGCCTACACTACTCTACACCGTGTTTTCGCACCGTGCGTGCGAATGGCCAGAGTATTCACATGCCCGCCCGATGATTGCGTCCGCGTTACCAGTGCACGCCCGCACGATGATCGCGTCTGTGTTACCAGTGCGTGCGAATGGTCAGGGCTTCCATGCCCACACTATTGCGATGTGAAGCATGATGGAAAGCGGCCCGTTTTGAAGAGCACGGGCGTGCAAGGCAGAGCGAACTTGAAGCGATGGGCGTCAGCGTCGGAAAAAGAGACATCAGCGGGGCCTTGATTCGGCTCTCCAGTTGCCAGTTTGATTCTCAGTTGCCGGGCCCTTTATGCATGTCCTCTGTAAAAGTTTAAACTTTTGTTATCTGGGCTATAGGAGAAGCAAGGAAAAAATCGACACTTTGGAACAGGGTTGGTGTGTAGTCTAAACCATGAAACCATCGGCAGGGACGATGTTTTCAGTAGACGATCTGTTTTCGGTAGTCTTTTTACCGCTTGGAAGCGCGCGATCAGCCGACTAGCACGTTGTTTAAAACACATTCCGAGCTCTGAAGGATCAACTGAGACCCTAAGCCTTCCGTGGTCGGAACGGGAATGTGCCCAATGCACGCGGCCCATTCTGTGAAGGTTCACGCGCGCAGCGCAACCTGCTCTCAAGCACAGGCCTGAGCCCTATGCCCATATGGGGGTTTACCCCCCAAGTAGCATGATCCCCTCTTTTTTAAGGACCCCCAGAAGGTACTCCTCATATCATAGACCCCCCATCTACCCCATTGAAATGCACCTTCTTTGAGCCTAGCTCCGGGAACGGATGTGTAGAGACATATATCTTACATAGTTGCTGTGGATGGTCAAACACGTACACAGCTCCAGCAACCCCTAGCCCCGTTTAGTCGCTGCGCTGCCCTGCCTTCACAATTTCACCGACGAATCGACTCTCAAGTTCTGGGAACCTGATCGAAATCAAGCACGCGAGGAGTTGGTCACTTTAGCTTGGGAGCCCAATAGGTGAACTTTGAGAACTTTTTGGGTATACTAAACCCCTACTAAGAGAAAAGGTTTAACCTTTTTGAAGCCAGGTTATTGTGCAACTAAGTTAGGATCCAGTGTTGATGCGTTTAAGGGTTTAAGAGGCTGCCACTCCCCGGCTCACCTAAACTACCCACTTTCATTCCTAGGTTACTCTTTGGGTAAGGGTTTAGGGTTTAGGGTTTAGGGTTTAGGGTTTAGGGTTTAGGGTTTAGGGTTTAGGGTTTAGGGTTTAGGGTTTAGGGTTTAGGGTTTAGGGTTTAGGGTTTCGGGTTTAGGGTTTAGGGTTCAGGGTTCAGGGTTCAGGGTTCAGGGTTCAGGGTTTAGGGTTTAGGGTTTAGGGTCTCTAGAGATAGATGTTCAGGTTGTGGTTTTTTTTGGGGCTGTCTGTTGGGGGAGGCGCGGTTATCCACTCGCTTTGGGAGTTGTGTTGTTTCGGGCTTGGGGGATAGCCTTGGGGCGCTGAACCTTAAGAGTTCTTAAGGCTACTGGAGCGAAGGTCAACTTCTCTTCTTCCACCACTATTCTTCTGCTCGGCAGCGAAGCTGCCATCTTTTGAAGGAATTTCGATGCATTCATGACCCTTGCTGTCAGCTCTGTTTCTGAACCTAGGCGACTTCCTATTGCCCTCAACCGCCAACAGCAGTGGTCCGGCCATGACGAGCTTTCGGAAGGGACACCCGGCAGGTGTGGAGTAGGCTGTTTAGGGTTTTAGGGTTTCGGCTTTAGGGTTTAGGGTTGAGGCTGGCCTGGCTTGGGTCGGTGTCGGAGCCTGGGTGACCAGAATCTGAAACCATATGTGACGCCCCCCTCATATCTTCACATGGCCGACGGGGCATCACTGTACTCAGAGTACACGCTAATGGCCGCCGTAAGCACAGTTGATTCCCAACCCTGGGCTTCAAAAATTCGGGGCGCCCTCCGCAAAAGCCACATGTGCAAGGTGGTGTCCTGCTGAATGGCAAGGGTCACTGGTGACCTAACGAACCCTAAACCCTCTCCCTTAAGGGGTGGGACTTGTTGGGCAATGTTCGGTGAGAGACTCTGGCCGAGTGTATCGTATCGGCGAGGGTCTGAGCCGACGATTGCTCCCAGTGCGGCTAATATCTGAAAGGCAATGGGGTTAGGGGTTAGGGTTAGGGGTTAGGGGTCAGGGGTTAGGGGCTAGGGGTTAGGGGTTAGGGGTTAGGGCTTAGGGGTTGGGGTTCAGGGTTAGGGGTTAGGGGTGGGGGGTTAGGGGATAGGGGTGAGGGGTTAGGGGCTAGGGGCCCGGGGCAGGGGTTAGGGGCTAGGGGCTGGGTAGGGGCTAGGGGTTAGGGGTTAGGGGTATGGGCCAATGGCACCCCGGCCCAAACCCTGCAAACTGTCTGGAGGTGTTCAGCTTACGACGATTTGCTCAAGAGCCCCCCCCCAAAAAACAAAGACATTCTTCCTTAGAAGGGGAATAGCTGGATTCTTACATATATGCATGTGCATATATATATATGTGTACATATGTATATATATATATTGATTTATTTTGTTGTTTTTTTGAGGGGGGGCGGGGGGGGGGGGGATTCTGAAGCAAATAGTAGTTTAGGGTGCCTTGTTTGCGACGTACGCATCCACCACCCCAAGAAGCTCCGGGTTGGCAAATTTTGGGTGCACCCCCTGCATCAGTAGACCCCCTTAGGGTTTAGGGTTTAGGGGGTCTGGGGTCTAGGATCTGGGGTTTAGGGTTTAGGGTTTAGGGCTTAGGGCTTAGGGCTTAGGGCTTAGGGCTTGGGCTGAGGAATGGCTTAGGTATTGGCATTTCAGGCATATGCCGAGTTGCGACTCAAACAGGCCCACGTGCCGCGGTGCCGAAACTAGCAGCCTACGCACCGGGAGCAATTTTTATGCGACCACGGCGCTTTTGGGAGTGGCTTGGCTTGATAGCAAAACGGTCATGGATTTCCCTGCTACCCCCCTCAAAACTACCCCCCTCAAAACTACCCCCCTCAAAACTACCAACGACCCCCACCCCCCACCCCCCCCCCCCCCCCCCCCCCCCCCTTAGGTTCGCCCCTTAAATAGGCTCAACTGGGCTTAATTATCCCTAGATAGCCTGAATTATAGAGGTAGAAGGGAAACTCACGAAACTGCAATCAGACAATGGCGGGGTGCCTTAGATCCGGTATCTGCCCTAGTTCCTTGCTGAGAACCAGCATGTAGGTGGCCCCTAAACCCTAGTTTATTGGCTTTCTGGGGTTTAAGAAGTTTAATTACAGGGTTTAGATGGATTTACAGGGTTTGTAGGGCGTTTAGGGTTTGGATGGGTTTAGGGCCAGGGCAGGGTGAGGGAGGAAGGGGAGGGGCTTGGGTTCATGATAAGATTCACGGCTTCGGGGCTTCTGAATCGCAGAATACGTCACGAGGTCGAAACAGCTGGACAAAGTGTTCTAATTGCAGGGGCGTGCCCATCTGTGGAAAGTACGGGGCTTGGGGTATTTCGGTTGCTGGGGGGTTTGTTCTTAGGATGAGCACCTCTGACCCTACAGTTCTGTGGATCTAGTTGGGTTACTAACTACAGCCCGTGAGGGCATTGAGTGATGGGCGACTGGCGTGATGGACAGATAGCAGCGAGAGAAGCCAGAAGCCACTCCCAAGCGCGGCGGTTCTGTTTGAACTCCTTTGCCAAGTGCTCTTGTGGGCCTCAGGGATTTCCCGAAACCCTAATCAACAGAGCTTAAAGCCGGTGGGGGTCCAGGTGTGTGGCATGTAAAGGGGCTTCTTCTGCCTCCTAAAAAGCTCGGCGCAGGGCTGGATGTTCATTGATGTGTAGTACAAGTTTAGTACTGCAATCGCGGTTTCGGTGAGCCGGCTGGATTGTCATGGTCAAAGTAACAAGAACGGTAGAAAAAACAAGCTGCAGCACCCGCAGCTCCGTTCTCGCTCTGCGGTGCGGTTTAAAAACATGA